TCCTAAGGGGTAACTCGTAAAAGTAGAGCCCTTTGGGCAACAATTTCGTCCGTTTTGCTCTATCTTGTACCGTTTCGGCGCTATTGGGCATTTCTTGGCGAAAATAACGTGAAAAAGACAAAATGGTCTATTAAATCGTAAAAAAGGCTTCATGTCACAGAATTGTACAGGGAGTAATACTTTAACCACATATTGCGGGTCGCACCACACCCTCTTTTGGGCTTAAAGGTCCCTAGAGTATCTAGTATCACTAAAACGTTGATTTTTACATAACAATCAGTCAAAATTCGAACTTTTAATGAAAACCGTTACCGAACAGCAGAAGTTTCATGTTCCTAATTTTTGAGTAATAAGACATCGACAAATGGTTAAAGTATGTCAAAAATATAGGGCCTGGAAGGCCCTGTCCCCCTACACCCTGTCCTTAACTCGTCTCGGGTGTCAGCGCCGCAGGCCTAGCTGTATGTGCGCCAGGCGCGTCGCAGCGTAGCAGTGTTTCGTGAGATATCGCGAAGCCTGTTACGCGAGACGTGGTCTGGCGTACATATAGCTAGTTTTCTTTTAATCAACTAGGATGTTCAAACCTTCTGAATAAGAGACCATTCTCTATGACCAGAGAGTTAAACTGATACCGTAGAGACCTAGTTTTACTACTGTTTCCAGCAATCTCCTGGAACTCAGGTCTCTCTCCATCCTGAACTGCAACCATGATAGGCATTATGTCTGGATCTAGTAATTGGGCCTTTCTAATTTATTTATCACTGAGTCCATTTGGAATTACTTTCGTCCAGTGGACTTTTACCGTGTCTGAGGTGAGTCTGATTTGTTTTCTTTCACCTAACAGACATGTTGGGCAGTTATCGTCACATTTTATTTCTATTTGACACTGACAAACTAACACTGTTTTGTCTCTTTCTTCCAGTCTGTCACATTTCTTGCAGTCATCACATGGTCTCCTGGATAAAGCATCAGCATGCCCTATGCTTGTTCCTTTCACATGGACCACTTGGAATTTGTATGGTGCTAATCTTTCAAGCCAACGTGCAAGCTTACCTGTAGGATTTTTGAAATTCTTTAACCATTGCAAGGCTGCATGGTCTGTTTTAACCACGAATGGTGCACCTGCCAGGTAATGATGGAATGCTTTTATCGACTCTACTAGTGCCAGTAACTCCATGTGTGTTGCGCAGTAATTTCTCTGGGCAGGGTTAAGAGTTTTGGACCAATAGGCTATTGTGACTTCTTTTCCGTGCTGTTGTTGGCTTAGGATACAACCAAGGCCAAACAAACTAGCATCTGTGGTGATAGTAAATTCACCTTGAGTCACATCTGGGGTACCTAATATGGGCGCTGTTGTTAGAAGTGTCTTTATTCTATCAAATGCCTCCTGACACTCCTGGGTCCATTCAAATTCTTGCCCTTTCTTTTGCAACTTAAATATTGGATTAGCTATAGATGCCATGTGTGCGACATACTTAGAGTAGTACTGCACTAGACCTAGCCATGATCTTACCTCTTTTACATTAGTTGGTACTGGCCAACGCATTATTTTCTCTATTTTATTTTGATCCGTTTTTATTCCTTTTTCAGATAGCCTGTGTCCCAGATAGGAAACTTCTGGCTGGAATAACTCACATTTCTTTGCTTTTAGCAAGAAACCTGCTGCTCTGATCCTGTTGAATAGAGCCTCTAATCTTTGCAACATTTCTGGGAAATTATCCCCACCTATGCAGATATCATCAAGGTAAGCTGACACTGTGTCTCCTAAATCATTTTGAGGGTTTTTCTCGAGGGCTGGAGTGATGATTCGGTCAGTAATATACTGGAAGGCACCTGGTGCTGCAGCCAGCCCGAAGCTTAGCCTGGTAAACTCAAACTGTCTATGTGCAAGTCCCAGACCTTCCGGTAATATTATAGCCGTCTTGGGTTGATCATCTGGATGTATCTCGAGGTTGTGGTATCCATGGGCTAAATCAAAAGCATGATACATCTTTTTGCCTCCCATAAGATGCAACAAGTCCTGTACCCTTGGTATAGGTGTGGCTGGGACCCTAGTGACTGCATTCAATGCCCTGTAATCAATACAGACCCTTACTTCTTCAGTCTTTTTCATTACACACAGAATTGGAGAAGCCCAGGCTGATTGACTGGGTATGATGGCCCCTTGTTCCAAATACTTTTTAATGGTCTCCATTATAGCCTGCCTATAGTGTATGGGTATGGGCCTTGCTGTCTGCTTGATGGGTGTATGGTCACCTGTGTCTATTCGAAATTTTGTCCAGGGACATTTACCAAAAGTAGTGTTATCCTTGGCAAAGATGTCATAGTGTTTTCTTAACAATTTAGCTAACTCTTGTCTTTCTGTTTCAGACAGTTCGGTGCATTTGTCTACCAATGCCTGGAGATCCTTAGGGAGTGGTTCACTCTCCTTAATCTCTGGCATACTTGGTGTCGTGTTATATTCTGCATCTACGAACTGAGTTGTCTCATGGTGTACCACATTTACCTGTGCTGTATCCTCTGTATCTTCCTCTCCTCCTTCGTTAACAAAAAAAACAAACTTTGGGCCCAAACAACAAGATAATCTTAGAAACGTCGTCTGCTGATTCTTTTGTCGTCCGTGAGTAGTATCTTGGGGATACTGCGTTTCTTGTAACAGCTAAAATTCCTAATTCGCTAACTTTTTTTGTTAACCTTTCTTATAGCATTTTGTACATGTATTGAGCGGCTTACCATGTGTCATTACACATCTGTCATCCGTTTTTAAATGTTGATAAAACCTTCAATATCTTGCTTTCCAGCCATCATCATTGACTGCGCTGTATGAGAATTTGTCAATTGTGGAGTATAGCCTGCTAAACAACTCTCATCTTTCTTATTCAGATTTGTATTCTTATTCCATGAGTATGATAACTTTAGATTTCATTAATATTTGTTGTCGAATTGTTTCATAAGGCTATGATAGGTGCCTGTATGAAGTGACTTTAACTTGATTTTCTGTTCCTCAATTTGTGTACATGTTTTAATTCCTAAAATTCATATATCAAAGTGACAGTTTGTGACAGATTCAGGAACAACTTGTATAGTTTTTTCCTTAAATATGACACCTTTTTTATCAATATGTAATCTTTCTTCCTTTCATTGATTTCTTCATCTCTGCTTGTACTGTTTTCATGTTTTAGATATTTTTTTTTTACTGTTGTAACTACAACCCCAAAGAGCAGAGCTCCATAATCGGGGCGGTTCGTATTACATGCTGTGGCGCAGTGCCGATATGAACATGTGAAATAGAATATATAGTAGAAATATAGAATAAAAAAATAATAACATAAAATAAATGGTAAAGATGCAATAACAGAAGATAAATATTTTGCTTGTTGAACTGTCATTGAGCTTGAAGTGTTGCCTTACATTTGGTCTTAAATACTTCCACTGATGAAGATGAGATAATGTCAATAGGGCGGGAATTATATGCAGAGCATATTTTATTATAAACACCTCTTATACCATATTTGGTTGAGTTATGTGGCTGGTGATGTATGTACAATGAATTTCTGGTGCTGAATTGATGAATTTCGGAATTGAGAACAAATTCGGTTAAGCTTCTTTTGTGACCATTGATAATACTTTATGCAAAAACAGCGGCAGACAGATTGCTGAGATCTTGAAGATTAAGTATTGTAAGAGCGGCATATAGATCTTTCGTGTGGGTTCTTGGATGAAGGTGAAACAGTGTTTTTATAGCTCGGTTTTGCAGGGTCATGAGTGGCTTAAGTCTTGTGAGGGTGTCTGTGGTCCAGATGATATTCATGTATGAAAGATGGCTTTGGATGAGACCATAGTATATGGACATTTTTGTTTTATCGTTTAAAATGGACCGAAGTCTGAAGAGGATTCCCACTATTTGGCTTACTTTGCTGATAATGGCCTTAATATAATCTTCCCATTCCAGATTTCAGTTCTAGATTTCATTTCTAGATTTCACAAGTAATTGTGTAAATTCATAAAGGTTATCTTTTGTGCTGACTAACATATCTGTTCTTATGATATTCCTTCAGTTTCTTGATAGTAAAGGTTGCAGTTATAGTTGCCTATTTTAGTGTGGTTTCTAATTAGGTTATGTTGATGATTTCATTGTTTTCAGGGTATAACCCAATTCTCGTCGTCTTGTTTGTTAGCCCGCTCTTTTGCTTAAAAGCTATATAAGCGGGCTTATGCCATCGCCTCTGTGTCTGTCTGTCTGTCCGTCTGTCCGTTCCCCAAGAAGGCCGGTTCAAAATTTTCTTCTAAGAAGAAGAGTGGGCTTATTTTATGGTGGCACATCATTAATAAAACGTGTACACTTTCATGCAAAAAAACACAAAAAAAACAACATTTTTTTTTGTTGTTGTTTGAACACGTTCGGTGTCATTCATAGTATGCCTGGAAAGATATTTAACTTCTAGGCCTAGTCTTATGTACCTTTTCATAAGTGTGTTATTGGATTCATAAGCTAACATCAACAACTTAAAATTTTGGCATAACTTGCATGTATTCTACAAACTGCGGCACACACAGCCAAAGATGTTCAGCGTATGAAAAAAATATTTCGTTTGTTGAGTTTTCATTACGAAGTAGACAGAAAAGGTACCTGGCAAAAAGATGGTTCAAAGCGAGCCGTCACTCAAACGGGCCGAAGGCCCGTTTTCGGAGAGAAGATGTATTACAACATGAATATTCAGAAGGGACGGGCCGAAGGCCCGTCCCAAACGCCGCCGGCAGGCCAAGCTGGGCCCGCTCCCTGCCGAACCGAGTTGCCGGTGGAGCGAAGCGGAGCTGGCAACTTGGTTTGGCGGAAGAGCGGGCCCAGCTTGTTTTTTCTTTATTGGAGTCTAGCCATTTGTATCCTTCCATTTTTAAATCTTTCAAATTTCACAGTGCTTGTGTTGTCTGGTTTCCATTGTAACAAACAAACATTTTCGGCCATTGATTTCTTTCAGACACTCTAATTTTTTGGTTTTAGTTTTTTTTTCAAATTCTCTAGTTATTTATTTCAAAAGATATCACCATGGATGTTAATGATGAAAGTACACCTTGATAAATCTTACCAAAACTCTTTTCCAAAACCTTATAGTTTTTTTTATATAATTAGAGTTTGTATTCAAAGATTTACTGATCCTCGTTTTCTAACATAACTCAATAATTTTTCTTCCTTGTCCTTTTTAAGGCAATTCTAATTTAATAAACCGCATCATATTTCTCTCCCTCCAAATGAAGTGCTTACCATTGTTATCAATTCATATTGAAGTTTCGCTTCTTTAGATTCTTTGCCTCTATTAGCTGTCTGTTATTTTCTTGACCTATTGATTTCTTAATTCTTATCTTTCGTATATTCTTGGTATGTTCAGGAATGTTCGTGGTGTATGGATCTCGAACACCAAGACGATGAAGAAACGTCTGTTCCCATAGATATACCAATGGTAAGCACGGTAATCTTTGTTTTATCTTTGTTATATATTGATTTTATGTTAACTTTAACTTATATCATGATTTTTGTTTTACTTTTTAGGCTCGTGAAAGTGGGAAGAATATATTAGTCAGTCTGAAGACTGGGCTATCTTTTCTACTCGATTCAAAATATCTTACTCATCTGAAATTTCAGTTGTCGGCAATACAATACTGATATTGCATTCACTCCTTTATTCTACTGATAACTGTATACAAAAAAATATTTAAGATTTCTTTTCACATCTAGAAATGTTACCTTTCTTTTTTAAAAGGTTTGATGTTTCTTTTGGTTGTTTTTGCCTCATTTGTGTATAAGTATTATCTTCTCTATGTGTTATTAACACTTTCATCTTACTGACTACTCAAATTTTGGTGTATTCAAATGAGTTGGCAGCAATTTGTGTTGTTTGTAAATCCCTTGTTCTGTTTTTTCTATTTTAACGTCTATAGCAAAGGCATGCCGTGGGCCAATTTCAGACTGGCGATGACCCCCCACCAGAACGAATTGCATATTCCACCCCATCGACATCAAAAGAAGTGCAGGAAGAACATTTTGATTCTACCTTAACAGTAAAATTTTGATTTCCATTGTATTATTTTTAGTTTGTGTATGGTAGTTTTTTCAATTTTGTTCTGTTCTTCTTTTTTAGCAATTTGGAAGAAAAACATGAGTGATGTTAGGCCCTGGTGTTTGTGTGTACCTTACTGACCCTGACATACATGATCTAGTTTGCAAATTGGATGACAAACCAGTATATAACCCAAAATCAGCTGACGATGAAAAAAAATTAGGTAATATATTTTGTAGATGAGCACTGTTTACAATTTGTAGGTTATTTTATCACTTTTCTAATGTAAGTCTTTAATTTTTCATATCTTAGGTCGAGATTGATACTGATTCTGATGAAAATGATTCTGAAAAGAAATCAACATCTTGGAAGAAAGATAGTGACAAGAAGGACAACAAGAAAAGGAAAAGTTCTAAGGTATGAAATTTTGTTAATCTTGTTGTCTTTACTAGCTATTGAACTGTAGTATTATGGCAACATTAACCCTAACCAGGTTACAGCAGAATACCCTCAGTCACGGCCACTAGTGATCACTATGGAGGCGACACCTACACTCAGACCCCTGAACCATTTAATTGTTTTACGATCGCCTTGTTCTTCTTGTTGTTATGCCAAACACTGAATAAATAGAGGCGCGAGCCTTTGACTCGTCGCCATTTACCACTCATGCGATCTGTTGTTCACATGATCTTGGCTCTCCCGTAACCCCCAGTACTACATTGGTCGCAGCGGTAACAACATGGTCGACGACGCTGGCGAGCCCAACATGTTCATGGCGCAGAAGTATGGACGAGGAAGAGGTGGACGTAGAGGCCGTGGAGAACGAGGACGTGGACGTGGCCGTGGACGAGGCCGCGGGCGATACCGACGAGTTATGGAATTCGTTATCGCGGGAGGTGAAGGTCCTCTACGTGCACAACAGCAGCGACGAGGAGATCGAGAACGACGACCACCCCGACGTTTTCGCGAAGAGGGACAGGAGGGAGAAGCACTTCAAGGTGCGGGGCCAGCGCCGCAAGGCCAGCAAGAAGCAGACCCAGAACATTAGCAGGGCGCCGGAGCGCGTCAAGGCGCCGCCGCTGACCAGGGACAACAGGTCAAGGAAGATGATTTTGATGACGAATACGAGCAGGATAGCTCCAAGGCCCGGACCGAGAGCACGGAAGGCCTCGCCGTGGGCACTGTACCATTTGGAGCGGCCAGAGAGGAAGCATCATCACCATGGCCCAAGACAAGACACACCAGAGCAGGACGGAGGAGGTACTGGGCCGGAGCGGAGCACGCGGACAGTACGACGACGCCGAAGAAGACGCCGATTACGAGCAAGAACATGAGCAGGCGCAGGTGCATCAAGACCAGTTGTTCGCCAGATTCCTGGAGGCGATGGCGAGGACGGTGGGCAACAACAAGCCCAAGAAATACAACGAGGCGCCGAAGTACGACCGCGAGACAGACTATACGATCTACCAAATCCAGTTCGATACGGTCGCGGAGGCCAACGACTGGAACATCCAGGACCGCAAGACGGCCCTGATTCAGGCCCTGACAGGGAATGCCACTGACGTAATCGCAAACCTCAAGCACCAGGAGGTGCCGATCACATACGAGAGCCTGGACGAGGCTCTAATCCGAACCTTCGGCAGGTCCGCCTCTATGTGGCAGCGGAAAAAAGACTTCACTACTCTCACACAAGAGAAAGACCAGACTGTCAGGCAATTTTCCCGTCAGGTGGAACGGTTGGGGAGGGCATACCTCCGAAACATGAAGGAGCAAGATATCCAGGAGGACCTGGTGGAGAGATTCATCAAGGGTCTGGCAGACAAGAAGGCCGCATCACGCTTGGCATTCGCAGCCCTGCCCAACCTGGACGAGGCCCTCAAGACACTCAATAGGGGCCT